ATGCAACCAGCGTGAAACGGCCGAACAACAGATCCCTATCGCATCCGGCCGGAAGCGGACGTCGAGACCGAAACAGGAGCGTCGACCGACGTCGGCCGGTGCGGGTTATATCGTGCGTAACGCACGTTACGTCAATCTTGTCGCGTAGATAGGGCGCGTATCAATCTGCTCGGTTCCGAATCGCTCCCCCGACAGTATCGATTGGAATTTTGCATCTGTCCCGCGGCCGATCGAGGCGTCCATTCGGCTCGCACGTGTCTCTAATTAGCACCACTTGTGCCGCCTTGAGGGAGCGCGAGATCTCACGTCTTTATCGGAGCCAAATCGCGCGACGAAGTCCTGCGACGCAGAACGCGTCGTCTGGAAGTCGACAGTCGACGCTCCAGACGACGACGACGGCGACGGCGGCCACTCGGCTGCGCCTTGACCTCAGCCTTGAAGCCGCGGAATGCACAAGAGTGGCTTCACCTCCTCTCCTCCCTCTCACTCCTTTCGCCGTCGCCGTGACGCGCGCTCCCGCTTTGTGCGCTGCACCATGCGCTACGCGACCACGTGCGCTTTTGGTCGTTGCACTTTCTTTCTCCTCGTCTTTCTTTTCTAACCCGCCACTCTATCGCCGCGTGCGTCCCGTCTCCTTGTCACGCGTCGTTGCGTCTCCAGCCCCGAGACTCTCTCATGAATCCATGACTTTTCTATCTCCGCCATCGGCGGATGCGGTTCTTCGCGCCTATGAAGTAGTCGCGAAACCACCCGAGTCGAAGTTTTAACCCTGAACCTTTGATCTGAGCTTCCTAACATGTGTATACTCTGAGGGATTAGATTATGCTTAATACACATGAGAACTGAGGTCCTACTCAGCGCCTCTAAATGACAGAGAACGCACAAAGTGCCAGTTGTGGGTTCTAAAGAGAACTTCTCGTGGCAAAGCTTTGAAGGTGTAGACAAAATTAAGAGAAACATAAGATCTCTATAAGAATCGTGCTCTGGATGCTGATGCAAATAAGGTTGAATAGGAGGACGCCAAACACACATATTATTCTCCTATTCAAGGCTTATTTGCATACTCTTATAGACATTATGTTTTTTTTTATTTGATATATATCTTTAAAGCCTTTGCTATAATCAAACGAAATGTCGAAAATAAGATCAAGATTCTGTCTTTCGTTCATCGAGAGCTTTGTCCTGTTGCGACTTCGATCACGAGTCGCAGGATCCTTCAGAGCAGGTCTCGGTTGGGACACGAGAGTATCGCGAAGCGAAAAGAAGGGCGCGAGACGATCGCCCCGGCGATCCGCACGACGCGATTGTCGGTGCACCAGGATTAATGTCTTGGCCTGAGAGATCTCCTTGGCGGCGTGAGATAGGTCGAGGTAACGTATTTAACGAGGCGGAGTTTCCTCCGTCGGATCTGGCGAGAGAGGAATGCGTCCTCGGGACAGAGTGGCTCGGGTGCGTATCGTCGTGCCGTTCGCTTCTTCCCGGCGCGAGAAGAACGACGAGGAGAGAACGGTGATAGAAGAAACCGGCTGCCCTTGTCCTTGCGCCGTACTTTGCTTTCAAACGTTCTCCTGGCGAGCGTCCTCTCTGCCCTCTCTGTGGGTCTACCCCGCGGTTTATTATTTCTTTTCTCTCTCTCTCTCTCTCTCTTTCTTTCTCTTTCTCTCTGACCATATTACGCCATGTGCATAACAGCTGACTACTTATTGAAAATCGAAGGCTGTATCATATGAGGCTGTTTAATGTATAATATTCTGTCCTCTGATACTTCTAATTGTCTTCATGACATATGATCAGTTTTCCTTCTTCTATTAGAATAACACTCGTACATAAGAATTTTAATTAGAATTATAGAATTTTATTAATATCAACATGCGTATTGAAATAAGCGCTTTATTTTGTTCTCATTGCATATTTATGGAATATTCACCCGAAGCGTGTTATTAGCTTCCTTCCTAGCTATATTTGAATTAATTAATTATCTTCTGCAACTCTTTATCTTTTGCAACGGGAGAGGTCTTCTGTGAATGCTTAATAACGAATGATGAGTGGTTCTTGTAATCGTCTAATCTGCAATCTTTTGATTTCAAATTAATTCTCATTTATGCTATTACTATATATTACTATTTAGTATATTACTTTAACTTGTTTATACATATTCTTATTTCTTTTTTTTTTTTCTTATATTACCTGTCCTTATTTTCAATTATTATTGCTTTTTCTTCTTTAATATGAACAATACTACGTGATGCGTTCCTTAATTATCTTCTTATATTTTATGTTCTGTTCTTTACGGCCGTATTTAATATAGTTTGCTGTAAACTGTAAGGGGCCTAACTCCAAGATCGGATAAACTATCTATCTATCTGTATGTGAATAACTTCTTCCACCTCCCTACGATTACGCAATTCCGGAAAAATACGGCAAACACACGGCATAAAAATCGCGTCGGTTGTAAATCATTGGCGCGGGCAAATGATTGATTTACGCGACTGAAATAAATCGCGGCCCCTCGCCCTGTTTTTGAGCTTCAGTGAACCGGTACGGCCCGATAAATCACAAATCGCGATTCGCGTGCGTTGATTATAAAAAGTCACGCCGCTCGCGCGGGAGAGAACCCGGGACGCGATATCATCCCCACCCACGCCGACTTGGGATACGTGTATCCGAAAAAAGAGTGCGCGCGTTCGGGGTAGAAGTCCGAACACCCGAATCGATCGCCACCTCGCTTTCTTCGAGCTCATCGGCAAGTGACACGTCTGCCGAATCGAGCGGAATTCATTTCAGAGTCGTCGCACGTTCGGCCCGTTCGTTATATCTTGCCCGCGAGCCACAGTCTCGACGTGTCTACGGATGATTTTTGAGGGACACGACCGTCTCATCGGCGGTTTCCGGGCGATTTAACGGCGCTCCGCGCACCGTAATTCGATTTCGGACGAGGGACTCGGCCGCGTCGAGACGGCGACGCGAGTGCCGCTGCGAAAGACGGCGCGCGTGCGAAGTAGTAAAACAATTTCATAGCAATTCGAAGTTACCAAATGGATGGTGCCCGTGATTCCCCATCTCTCCGTATCTCCGAATTCAACAGGTTGCAGCTGGTGGCTGGAGGAGCGGCCCTCCTCCTCGTTCTTCTTTTGCTCTCTGTCCTTGCCTTCATTCCTTCCTTCCTTCCTTCCTTCCTTCCTGCTTGCCCGTCGGCATGCCTTGCCTTACCTTGCCTTGCCTTGCTTTATCTTACCTTATTTTACCTTGTCTGACCCATCTTCCCGCGTGTTTTTCTTCCTTCGTTCCCTCTTCTCGTTTTAATTGAGCGCGCCGCGAGCTCACTCTTCCGTCGTTTCTTTCACCCGCGAGCTGACACTCTCCGATCGCACATTAATTACACCCGCGCAATCTTCACGACTCGCTCGGAATCGCGCCGAACGCGCTGGATGCACTCAGATGCACTCATCTGCCGCGGAAAAGCGCAAACCGGGGCTTCTTAATCCTTTTTGTGCCGTAGACCGCCCGAGTTCGCGGACCTTTTCGCGAAATAATGCTTTTGAATGCGCGAAGTACACGGGGAAGAAGGTTTGTTTCTATGAACGTGAAGTTTGGTTTTAATGACGCGAATCGACGCGTCTTGGTCGGAGGACACAGATTTCTTGCACTGAGAAAGAAACACTTTAACCAATACTCGTGGGCTATAAAGTTTATCTCTGTGAAATAAGACTTGTTTCCGCCAATAAAGTTTATACACCACAAATAAAGTTTAATGTATTTTTTTCTCAGTGTGTATGTGGTTCTTGTGAATCCAAAGAGTGCAGCCAAGAATGGCCAGGATTCATGGCAAGAAAGTTTAAAATTATTTTGGGCTCAAAATAAAATTTACTGTTCGTAGATTACAAATATGCAAATGCCAAAGTGATCAGATCTTAAGTTCCAGAGATATGACCCATTAAAAATTCCACTTCCACGAGATGACGTCAGTGCTCTCCGCGTTGAACTGCGGCTGTTACTCGACAATCACATCTCGACTAGATCTGTCACTCGTGACAGTACTGTCGATCAGTATTTAGTTATAGATTTTTCCGCAGTATCGAGAGAGACTTCAGATTCCTTGAATTTGAAATAGTTTGTACGCAAGTGTGCGCCTCGAGATTAACATTTTGTGGAAGTGGAATCTTCAATGAAATATCTCTGGAATCTGAGATCTGACTTTGGCACTTGCATATTTTTTTGTAGTTTACGCACCATAAACTCTAATTTAAACCCAAACACTAGACACTTGCTTTTCTTTGCTTCTACGAAGCAGGAAAATCCCTTTGCCTTCGACCAGAACACGTTGGGTTCGTTTATTGCAGCCAAACTTCATGTTATGATACAACGAAACTTTTCTCCGTGCAAAATAGCAAACTCGAATTCTCTAATGGTGATCCGCAATGAAGAATTAGGACTGCGGATGACCGTTGAAGAAAGAGCACAAATATTGTTTTTCTCTTGCTTCTTACTTCTAACGCTCATAATCTTTAATCTTAGAGAATGTTCCTCATCTACAGCGGTTCGCCGTTCTTTATGTTATAGTTGCCTCTATGTTATACTTAGCCTCTGCTTTTCAAGTATCTCCCTCGGCTCTCTCTCTCTCTCTTTCTCTCTCTTTCTCTCTCGGCGAGTTTCTTGTGAACGACTCGCGGTCGCGGAACCGACCGAGAGAGGAGAGAGGAAGTGGAGAAAGAAGAATCGGATAACGCTTCCTGCCGATTCGCAACGGACCGTGATGGCCAGACTTAAGTCGGCGCGATACGGCCGCTCGATGTCCGCCCGGCTACGGTTTTATCTACTCACCTCTTTCAGATCCGCGTCCTTTGTACACGAGTATCGTCGCGAGGATCCTTCGAATGTGTAATCTGAATGTTTACTTTTTAGAACTTGTGCGCGCTCTCTTAGATGTTATTACACGGCAGCCTCGGATACAATTAATGACGATGTTAATGACGATAATTGTTTGCTTTGCTCTGTTGCAGGTAAGAATTCCAGACCTTTCGAATTTTCGTCCGTTTCCTACAGCACCGTTTCCGGTGGTAAGTTGGACTCAATTACACATTCAATTACAATATACACATTCAATTACGAGAAAAGTATGATCGCCTCATTAGAAGCGCGGATCGTGTGTTTCCGCGCGCGATATATCTCACGTTTGCATCTCTCGCGCTTTTACACTTGCACGCGCGAAAAGATGATGCGTCAGAGACTCGCGGAGATGCGCTCAACCCCCCTTCGCTGTCGGCATTTAAATTGTACAAGTGGGCTCGAAATGTCCAGTATTAACTAACAAGTTAAATGTGATAAGTATACAAGAGATCGCGGAATAAGGAAATATTATCGAAATTAATAAATTCAAGATGGCTGATTCGATATAACAGCGGGATGAAAATATGGAAGAACGAAAAATTATTTCTTTCAATAAATTTTAATTTATGAGTTTTTTTTACAACAACTGTGTGATCTGTAAATAACCAAATTGAAAATGGCGAACTAAAGTGTGTAAATATTACAAAATATACATGAGCCGTTGTTATCAACATAATTTACACAAGAACAGAATATAGAAGAATATATAACATTTAACCTCGGACAATATTAAGCTCTCTCAAAATTAATCGAGAATAATGATTGAAATATAAACGTTCGATATTTCGATAAAATATACTAATAAAGTGTAATCGTGATGATTTATTTTATTAGTTTTTAAGTAGAGAAAATATGTTGATAAGTAACGAAAATCCATTGATATAGCGGGAGTATTTAACTCAGAAAAAAAGTGTTTTATAATTTCATGTTAATAATTCGTTCGTAATGACATGTATAGGCGCCATCGACGCTGAGCGTCCGGCCTATACGCGTCATTGAGAGTCAAGGGATCCTCGACAGGATCCGCGATTGTAGCTCGCGGTCAGACGATCCTTCAGCGAGTCCCCGCGCGAATCGAGATTCTTGGGAACGTTAGCGAGTTGTGCAAATTTTATCGCGCTTCCGCTCTTCTCGCGCGTCGCGACGAAACAAACGTCGCGCCGCTACGTGCTTCCGTCCGTCCGACTGACGCGGCCGTTTTATTGCCGTTACGACATTTGTTTTATCGTACCTCACACGCGTGCTCGCAGCTCTCGAACTCGCCGTGGAAACGATCGAGCAGCAGCGGCGGCCAGAGTGGCGCGGTAAATAAGCGATCGTAAAGTTGCGGGAAATAATCGAACGGGAGCCCTTGCTACGCGGCGACCGTGACCTTTACTCTTCACCATGCGCTCCTCCGCAATTTTCATTTCTATCTCGTTAAAATGTACACCGAGGCTGAGGCTAGTGTCTGTCTCAGCGATTATACTCTCGTCTTTCCGTTCAATCCGCAATTTTCGCGTAAAAACGGCGAGAAGAAATCAACGTTACGGGCGGTAGGACCTCACAACGCGCTCGGTATCGTGTTTCTTTTCTAAACTTTGGCGAGTAAACTAAGGTCCGTGCAGAAAAATGAGTGTTGCCAAGTTTTTCTCATAAAACACTGAGGGGGACAGAATAGGCGCGAGTAAAAATCGATCGTGTTGGCAGTGTTCATTGTTAATAAAATTGAAAGGAATTTACATGAGGAAAAGAACTGCAATATTCTCTCCGCGTGCACGTCGAGATTGTCGCGTTCACGGTCGCGAGACAATTCGTGAGTCTCGCGGAAAGATGCCAAGGCACGCAGAGCGGGTTAAGGAGAACCGGTGGTGGTGGGCCTCTCCGGCGGAGGAGGTGAGCTGATGGATAATTGCTCACGAGCCGCGGCAACGATCTCTCCGGATCGAGGGTCGTCGTTGCAATTTAAACGGATTTATGGTACTCCTGGTACCTTTAACTCTCTCAGCCGTTCCCTCGGGCATCGAATTTTCGTAGCCACTTGCTCGCGCACACATGTCGTATGTGTGTGTGTGTGTGTGTGTGTGCATTTCTGTGTACGGCAGTGCCACTGCACCACACCAACTTTTCTGTCATGGTCGATCGTGTAGCTTCACGCTTTGGTAGAGGCGGAGGAGGCCTCGCCGAGAGGATGCTGGGAAGGAAGAGAGGGAGGGACGGGGTGAGAGAAAGCGATGGGGAGAGAATCGGAGAAATTTCGGGCCGTTTATCACGATTCTGGACGCTCCAGCATTTTCGATATTTATACCGCGCGGCCGAGTCTCTGCGCGAATTCGAACTGCATTCGAGCGGGCCGCGAGGAGTGTTTTATCGACCCCGCGGCCTTCCGGGAAGAGCGATATCGCAGGCGTACAAGAGACGTAGAGCTAACGATCGCGGCAACTACTACAAGCCGACTTATGTTTTTCCCCCCGGCCGGGGGCTTTAATAATTAACCGTTAAGCATGTCCTAAGTACTGGAGAGGCAATTTCCTTCTCCCGCGAGTGAAATTAACTATCGATAGTCGGACAACGATCGCTACTTCGCGCGAAGAAAACGCTCATGAGCTGCGCATTCTTTTTCGTGCTGAGCTTATAAATGTCTTAGCAGACGATAACATATATGTCTCTTTTCAAGGAGAAATAGAAAATTCCATCGTTAATTCAACTCAAGGAGCGATATTGCAAAAGGGCCAAAATTTTCCCACAAGGGAAATGTATAAAAATATAAAGACAGCTCGATTTCATACATTTACCTTAGGAGCCAGTTCTGGCTTTCTTACAATATTGTTTTGAACAATATCGTCAAAATTTTGACGCTATATTAAATCTTGAATTCTACAACGTAGTAGGAACTTAACAAAGTAGGAAGTGAACAAAGTAGATTTAATACTAATGATACAATTTATTCCAACTTTGACTCTGATGATGTCCGAAATTTCTCTTTTCACTTTCTTTAACGTCAAAATAGTATTATAAGCTTCGTAAATTATATCAAAATAGGTGTTAAATGGAATAATAAGACTGAAAGTGAGATCAAAATTTCGACTCAGATAAGTTAAATAGAATCAAAAGAAGTTAATGTAGGTTTCAGAATATTAAAAAGGTGTTAAATAGAATAGCAAGGCTGAAAGTAGGATCAGAACTTTGACTCGGGTTCTTTCATCATCATTTCTGAGTGGACTGCTTTTAAACAATTCGCCCCCATTATATCTTTTTTCCGCGAGGGCTGAAAATGCTTTGCGTATTAGCAGGTGTTATCGCATGCTCGTCGAATGCTGATGCTGATTCAATTACTTCAAAAAGGTGTTGAATAGAATAGCAAGGTTGAAAGTAGGATCAGAACTTTAACTCGGGTTCTTTCATCATCATTTCTGAGTTGACTGCTTTTAAACAATTCGTCCCCATTATATCTTCTTTCCGCTGAAAATGCTTTGCGTATTAGCAGGTGTTATTGCATGCTCGTCGAATGCTGATGCTGATTCAATCACTTCAACCGAGCGTTAGCCTGAAATCGAAGGACTGTCGAAAAAGTAGTAACTGCGCGCGCGCTATTTAGTGAAATAAAGTGTTTGCTCCGCCGGTCTCAGCCCCGGCAAGTAGCAGCAACTCGAAGACGAGGTCACTGTTCCGCATTCGATAATCGTCTTGGAAGTGCCATGTCGAAGCTCCGTGTTTACCCACCGCCTCGGAAGCTCGTACCGATCTTTTCTTTAAACTAAAGCAAAGTCCGTTAGAGCGGCACTAATCTGACGGCGATAGAGAGAGACGAAATTTCCGGTTCTTGTTCGGCTCGCAGCTCCCTCGCCCCCGGTGGCGCGTCAAAATCCCGAGCGCCGGTCTCGTTGGCTCTCGCAGTGTCTCGCTTAATGCGCATTAAGCGCATGAACGTTCGTCATCCGCTCGCACGGCGTGCGCGACTGTCTGTCGCGCGCGATGACATAACGATCTTATAACGATTTTCGCGGGATAAATCTCTCTCCTCCGCGCGATTCGCCAAGTTCTCGTGCGGAAACGGGGTCCTTTCCGTCTTCTTCTTTTTCTTCTTCTTCTCTCTCTCTCTCTCTCTCTCTCTCTCGCAAAATTTGGTACGCCAACAGTGAAAACGCGTCGGCGGGACAGCAGTGGGAAGACGGCTCGCGGGGGGCAAACAGTTTCCACTTTTCCGTGAGAAATTCGCGGCATTATCATGAGCAAATTTGACTTTCCGCTCTTCCACCCTCCGAGGATTCGCCGCGGCGCTCTCTCGTCGTCGTCGTCCCTCCCCCCTCCCCTTACCAGCCCCTTGAGAAGCCCGTCCGCCCGCATAACCAACCGACGGGGGCGGGCGGTACCCGGAGGGGCTAGAACCGCCACGTGCATCCTGCTCTTCAGCATCCGCTCGGTAACCGCCGCGGGATCGACTATGCATCAGGCGAATTCCGGCGGTCCGCCGGCCCGCGCTCGAATCCCAAAGATTCCGCGGCTGGCGACGGTGGATAAGGACAGCGCGATGACAGATGAAACTCGATACTCACTTTTCAGGCCGTCCGCGACTCGCTTCCCGGCGGTGAGCGACTTTTCGCACGCGTGGAGCGCGCCGGAAAGACGGAGAAATTTCTTCGCGATTTCGCGGCTGCCGGAAGAGGAGACGCGTAGGCGCACCGCGCGCGCCGCCGAGAAACAGAGTCTATGAAATTCTCGCAGATGAATTTCCTTAAGATTGACGCGCGCATACACTCAACGCCTCGTGTTTTTCGCTTCGCTCGCCGGAAGACAAGCGCAATCTCTCGTAGTCGATTCGATGGAGGTAGGAGATTCTCTCCTTCGCCTCCTCCTCCTCCTCAGTCTTTTTATTCGCGCGTTCCAGAACGCCGACGCTTCTCCCTTTTCCCGATGGCGGTATGCCCCCCTCTTTCTCTCTCCCTCTCTCTTTTTCTCTCCATCTCTCTATCTATTCATCCTTCCATCCATCCATCTGTCTCGCTTCCGTCCCTCGATACCCTCGCATGTCGCAAGAGTCGAGGAAATTCACGCTCGAGAGTGCATCCTCGAACAGTTTCCCGAGAACGTCTCCTCTCACTCCTCCTCTCACTCCTCCTCCGCCTCCCTCGAGCGGGCCCGAAGTGGATCGGGGGTTGGAAATTTACGCGCCACGGATTTCGCTCCTCGT